TTAAAATCCTGTCGGGCGTAGACTGCCTACAGCCCCCTCACCCCCCACAAGAGCAGGGCAAGGGTAGCGGTCATAGGCCTCCCTGCCCGAGCTGGAGCTACAGGAAACTACAGCCTTTGCTTGCTGTCTGTTTTGGCGTGATTCTCTAAGGGACTAAGCTTGCTTCAATCGTACCGTGGATCTTCCTCTTGTATGGTCCTTTCTTACAAAATTCTCTCTCAAGATTGAACAAAATCAAAAGCTGAAAAGCAAAATCTCGAAACCAACATCCTATCATCAACGAAACAAATAAACACGAGCACACTACATAAACCAAACAAATACACAGTAAACACACATAAACACTAGAAAAGGGCATTCGAAAATTAGAAAACCTCGTAACTCACTAAAAATCCTAATCTCCTCAAGATCACTTACACAGCCTCAGACATAACATTGGAAGGGAGAGTAGGCGGGGAAACTACGAACTGACATTTGACAGCCCCTCTCGGCTCCTCGCCTTCTCCCCTTTCCCTATCTGGCTCACACAAACACTCATGTGTGCCCGCACTCACTCACGCAAGCACGCACGAACACACACACACTTACACATACAAACACACACACACTTACACATACATACATACATACATACACACACACACACTTACACATACATACATACATACACACACACACACACACAAAATACCCACGCACAGACGTGCTTCTGTCCCACCGACCCCCCTCCCCCACACACAAGCACACCTACAAAGGAGGCCTGTCCCCTACTTTCCCTCCCCCCTTCTTCGGACCTGCCTCTCCGCGGCGCCACCCACCTTGTCGGAGTCGCCGCGCCACATGGCCATGAACTCCCCTCTGGCGGCGGCGGCGATGAAGGTGGGGATGAGCGTGAAGGGCACGAGGTAGAGCAGGGCGGGCTGGGCGAAGCTCATGAGCCACAGGGCGATGAAGGTGGTCACCAGCCCCGAGCCGTAGCCTGCAAGCGAAGGGCGAAGCGGTCCGTTAACACAAATTACAGGGCGGGAAGAGTAATCACGATGATGACAATTATAATAATAAGGGCAATAATAATAATGATAATGATAATGATGATGATGATGATGATAATGATAGCAATAATCATGGCAACAATAATGATAATAACAGTAATACAACTAGTAATGATGATGATAATAATAGTAAAAATAATAATAATAGTAGCAGCAGTGATAATGATAATAATCATAATGATTTTAATAGCAATAACAGCACCAGCAGTAGTAGTAACAATGATGACGAAATAGAAAACGGCCGATGAAAACCTCAGAGGTGAACGAAACGAAGGGAGGAGTGATGCATAAGAGGACAGACACAGAGCGAGGGGAGAGGCAGAGGGAAGGCGCTAGCGAAGGAAGGGGAGGGCGAGGGTCGGGCGAGGAAGGCGAGTGCCTCCGAGGCGAGAGGAGGCGTTCGTGGGAAGGGACAGTTGAAATGAACGAAGCAGGGCGATGAACGAATGCACGAAACGCGCGGTCAGGGGCGCCGAGGAAAGGACGAAGCCCAGAGGAGCTCGTCTTGCACAGCTGTTAGGAAACGAACCAGAACCAAGAATTGAACAGGGCGAAGAACCCACATAAACAAACACCAATAAAAGTGTTATGAATGACTGCGGCGAGAAAAAGGCATTTCGCATTTTGCTCAGAAATATCTGCCCGTATTTCGAAGATATCGAAAACTCCCTCTTGTTTAAATGGTAAGTATAATTAAAGGAAGGAAAGACGATATAAATGTTATTAAGAAAACAACGACAGTTATGACACAGGCAGTAGTACTACGAAGCCGAATGTCTATTCGAAAGGCAAATGTCCGTTATAAATAAAGCACCACGATTAATAGATCGCCTAAAAAATGCACACATGTTGATCAAGTGTTTACAGCCTCCCGCTCATCTTCCCCCTCCCCCTTTCTATCTCCGCTTGTTTGCTTGTTTGCCTCTGCCTGTCTGCCCCCCCCCCCCTACCCAGCCTCCACAACAAGCACTCGTACCCCTCGCTCCCTGGCCTTCGTCAGCCGGGAACAAGAGCCATACACGCCGGGGAGGGGGGGGGGGGAGGCAGGGACAGAGCCCAGAGGGCTGTCATAAGGAGGTCACGGCTGCTCCGTCAAGGTCACCCACCACTAAACATCCCTATCTAGCCCTTATCACTTGCATTTTCTGGCCCTTATCGACTCCACCCTGAGGTGAGAAGAAAGGCGGGGTCCTCTGGCACCGTGGCACCGTCCCTCTGGTGCCCAAGAAACAGAAATTGGTCGACCGCTTTTGGGCGGGCTACTTGGAAACAGAAGTGGTTTCCTAGAAATTGTATGAGTAACTGCAGCCAGGAGTCGAAACAATAAAAAATAATAAATGAAATGCACGAAATAAAAACATTGTCCACTGAAATACAAGAACGCGAGACTTCATTGCTGTCTCGGCTGCCCAGAGCTAGTCTTCTAACAATACATAAAAGCACTGAAT